TTTGATTGTATTTCCACTGTGTGTGATCAAGCCTACTCAATCATATTAATTGCAGCCCTCTGCTAGGATCCTATCATCTTACTCAGCTTATTGAAATCGGATCCAATATTTCAACACTTCAGATGGTCAAGCCACATTTTCCATTTATGCTTCTGTGCCAACCGGGTGACTTCCACTGTCAATTTACTGATTCTAAGAGCAATAGGTCATGACGCTAAATAGTCCCGTTACCTGTGCTGTGAAATTTGATCTTAATTGATGATGTCTTGGAAAATCCTTTCTGCTACCCGAACATCAGCAGGAGTTAAGGAATGTGCGGCATTCAAACCGGGTGACACTATGGCTAGGGATTATGTTGCTGTAGTCTCGTAACCGACTTATTCTTGAAATATTTCTAAAGTGCACCCATTCGTTGCATTCATTACATCGCATCGAGACAGTTATGTTTTTAATGTCGTTCTGACAAACCGAGTAGAACCAATGTCCGGGGGTTTCTTCGATCTTCGGTGTTGTTGAACCGCCTGCCGTGGGATTGATATGCTTTTTTGATACAGATTAGAGACAATGCTTGTCAACGTGTTTGTGTTGTCCGTTTGTAGCTGTGGTTTGAGAAAATGCACGTATGTTCGTGTATAAAGTGCTGGGCAAGTGTATAATCTGCTCGTTTTCAAACGAATATTGCTCCCACTCTAAAACGTATACAGCACAATCGTCCTTATTTGAGCAAAACCGAAAACAAAAGTTTTTCTCGTTTTGCTTCTTCTACTCCCAGTAGTGCTCCCGTTTCCGTTCGGCGATTCAAACTGAATGTTGGATTCAATCCGATGTGAAAACGATCGTTTCATTCAGATCAAACCAAATGACTGCATCAACAAACAATTATGTAAGAAACCAAGTATGATTTAATTTTTATACCCTCCAACATAGTATGGAGGGTGTATCAAGTTTGTCATTCCGTTTGTAACACCTCGAAATACACATTTTAGACCCCCCACAAAGTATATATATATTCTTGATAAGCATACAATTCTATGTCGATTTAGCGATGTCCGTCCGTTTGTGGAAATCACTCTAGCTTCCGAACGAATTGAAGTAGATTGATAAAATTATTATTATGGCAGCAGGACTTTTGGTATTGAAAATAGGCTATGTAGGTTCATGATTTGGTATAGCCCCCATATAACGGTACCTCTAGATATTCTGTATTTTGATGATTTTAGCGACATTATTCACTTGAATTGTTTCAAATTAGCTATTTGATGTTCGGATGCTACATCCCATGACAGGAGAATGTCTGTGCAGGTCAACGCCTTCGCATAGCCCCCATATAACGGTACCTCCCTATATTCGGTTTTTGATGATTTTACCGACATTATTCACCGGAATTGTTTCAAATTTGGTATTTGATGTTCGTAATGGATGCTACATTCTATGACAGAAAATTGTGTATGCAGGTCCAGGTCTTCTTATAGCCCCCATATAACGGTACCTTCCGATATTCAGTATTTTGATGATTTTAGCGACATTATTCACCGGAATTGTTTCAAATTTGGTATTTGAAGTTCGTAATGGATACTTCAGCCTAAGACAGAAAAATATCTGCGCAGGTCCAAGTCTTCGTATAGGCCCCATATAACGGTACCTCCCGATATTTGGTATTTTGATGATTTTAGCGACATTATTCACCGGAATTATATCAAATTTGGTATTTGATGTTCGTAATGGATGCTACATTCTATGACAGAAAATTGTGTATGCAGGTCCAGGTCTTCGTATATCCCCCATATAACAGTACCACCCGATATTCGGTATTTTGTTGATTTTATCTACATCGTTAACGATTTTTTTTAAGTTTTGCATTTGAATATTATAATGGCTTATGACAAATTTTACCTATGTAGGTCCATGTCGTCGTATAGACCCTAATATAACAGCTACATTCGGTATTTTTAAGATTTTAACAGAATTTTTAACGGATTTTATTGTTTTTGCGAATTGCCAAATTGGTTCCAAATGGTGGAGAGTATTCAAAGTTCGGCCCGCCCGAACTTACAGCTTTTTTACTTGTTTAATTTTTTTTCATTTTGATTTGCAATCTATTTTTGGGAGCTCTTATTAAAATACACGTTGTAAAATTGGTGCTTAGTATTTTGAAAATCTTAGTCACATCATTCAAAAAAATTTATGTAATGTAGAATTTGCGGTTCACATTGAATTGAATATATACATTTAATTGATGGCTGAAGGCAAACGGAATTAGGGGTTCTCATTTGAGAAAAAATCTGTGCAAGATTTTTCAGAAATCGGTACCAAAATCATTATAAATTGTTTTATGTTAATAGGTTTCTGTAGTTCTAAATGTCAAGGGTATTTTGACGATGATATAAGCCACAATTTCTAATTGATTTGTTTAAAATTTGTAATGGCATATGTCTTTGGTGGCAGAATATTGTATATATAGTTCCACAATTTTATATAAAAATTTCTGTATTCAAACGTATAATATGTAAACGTGAATACAAAATTCAAAACGCCACGAAAGAGTATGGATAGGACCAGCAAAATACCAAATGTCGGTGGGTACCACTATATACAAACCTTGGACGAATATGGAAAAGGTTTTGACACCTGTCGTAAAATGCACATACGTGTAGAAACAAATCCAATTGAAATGAATGTACCGTTATACCGTTTCTACAGGGTGAATGAAAGCAAAAAATGTCAGAAATAGCATCAAATTTAGATTTGTTCGAATTGGTCACCTTTGGCACGAATAATTACCTTCAAACGACTAATGAAACCATCACACGCTGCCCGAATGTTGTTCTGCGGTATTTTGGCCCATTCCCAGCACTTTGATATTTTCTCCAGATGCAATAGTTCAACGGATTGGTATCCGGAGATTTTGGTGGCTATTATGCGCTGGAAATTAAGCGAAGAACCTCACTTTGTAATCATTCTTGGGTGGCGGGTGCTGAGTGCGATTGTGCTGAGCCCTGTTGGAATGTTCAAGGTCTGCGGCTAAAATGTTTGCGTGCCCAAGGCTGTAATACACCCTCCAGAATATTTTAATACTCGGCATTTATTCTGATGCCACGGTCGATTAATACGAGCGGAAAGCGACCATCGACTGTTATGGCGACTCACACCATCACCATGACCGGCACTTGAGTTCTGATGGCCAACCGAAGGTGCACATTTTCAGCTGACCTCTTTGGCAAGTTTGGTATTTACAAACTGCTGGACAACGAATGTTTTCTCATCGGAGAAAACCAAATTCGGCAGTTTACCACTTTCGGCCAAGCGAAGCAACTCTTTACCTCTTTGAGTCTATTTTTATACCCTCCACCTTGGCAAGGAGGGTATATTAACTTTGTCATTCCGTTTGTAACATCCTTAAATATTCGTCGTAGACCCCATAAAGTATATATATTCATAATCAGCATAAAATTCTAAGTCGATTTAACGATGTCCGTCTGTCTGTCTGTCTGTCCGTCTGTCTGTCTGTTGAAATCACGATACAGCCCACAGTATTTGACGTAGAGCGTTGGTATTGAAAATGAGATATATCGGTCCACGTTCTGGTATAGTCCCCATATAACGGTACCTCCCGATATTCGGTAATTTGATGATTTTTGCCACACTCTTTCATTGATTTGTATAAAAATTGGTATTTGTTGGTCATAATGGGTTCCAGCTACGGTGGCAAAACATTGCATGCATGGGTCCATGATTTGATATAGCCCCTATATAACGGTACCTCCCGATATTCGGTATTTTGCCACATTTTTCCACTGATTTGTCTAAAAATTTGTATTTGTGGATTATAATGGGTCCTAGTTCGTGTGGCGAAACATTGTAATTATAGGTCCACGTTTTGGTGTAGCCCCCATATAACTATACCTCCCGATATTCGGAATTTTAATGGTTTTTGCCACATTTCTTCCAATGTTTCTTTTACCCTAAGGTGGAGGGTATTAAAAGTTTGGCCCGGCCGAACTTAATGTTTTTTTACTTGTTTTCTGTTGCAGTGTAAGTTCTTACACTTTATGGAATTTCAATGGCTTTACCCCGAGCTCATTTTTCAATATTCGCCGAATGGAATATTGCGATACGTTCAGCTCACAAGCCATTTTTCGGCCACTGCGACGCGGGTTTCGATCCAGTCGCTTCTTTACTTTTCGAACCATTTCTGCTGATGTTGTTGTTTTCTTCCGTCCACTTCCTCGACGTTGGGCTACGGTACCAGTATCCCAGTAATGAGCGATGGTACGAAACAACAGAAATTTACTCACATTTAAATGCTGGAGTGCTCAAACGATAGCCACTTGTGGCTCACACTATCACGCTTCAATTGCAGCACGAATAAATTTTTTTCAGGAAAATGCTCACCAAAATGCTTTTATACGCTTGTAAACACTATAATAAGCTGTCACTGGAATAATTTTAACATCTGTCGGACGAGTGGCTTAGAAATGACAGCAGTCTGAACTAAGTTATAGTTTTTTCATCTCACCCTGTATATAAGTTCTTGTTTAGCCCACATATTGCGGTACCCCTCGATTTTCGGTATTTTTATGATATTAGCCACATTTAATTTAATTGTTTCAAATTTGGTATTTGAAACTATAAATAATTTTGAACCCCTTAGCAGAAAATTGTTTATGCAGGTAAATGTTTGAGTCTACCCCACATATGGCGGCAGCGCCACCAGCCAATTTTGCTGGAATTCGCAGTGTAAAATAGAACTCGTATGAATATTTAATTCCGATACTTTTATTTGTAAATGTTTTTCGATCGAACTTAGAGCTTTTTGTTTGCAACTTGATTTTTGTTTCGTCGTGCCTTTGGTAGTACATACCAGATAGATTAGAAACAAAGAAATAAAACTGGATTAATGTACATTCAGTACAGATTGAACAAAAACAACTTAATGTATTATTCTAAGCTTGGCTACATGGAGGGAACAAGTCAGAGGACAAGCACAACCATGAAGGCAGTAAAATACGAAAGAAAGAAATGAAAGAAAACACACAAAAAAAACAAGATCAAACAGATACAAAAGCCACCATAAAACAATAACAACAAATGAAAGGCGCATTGTGCCGGTGAACTGCAGGGGAGGAGTGTTCCCGGCAAGAAATAAATGAAAGAATGAAAGTCATTTGGGGATTTCGGATAAAAAAAACGAACAAGACATCCATAGTCCAGTTGAAGAGTTGAAATCAAATTTCAGTCTTGGTTTGGAAGTGGAGGAGAATGATTGGAAAGCGGTTTTAAAGGTATGGTTATGGATTTTTGATAAAAAAAAAAAAAATAAATAAAATTACTATAAGATTTGGTTTTTTTCAGGGCTAGGAGTAACAAATAAATCAACTACACATTCACCATGATCAACTTTTGGAAGTTTCTATTGTTCGGCGTTTTGATTAGCTTCGCCACAGCGGGGGAAATTAAAAATGTTTTGCTGTTGTTGGCCGATGATGCTGGCTTTGAGATGGGCGCTTACCTCAACAAGTATTGCCAAACACCAAATTTGGACAAATTGGCCCGCAAGGGTTTGTTGTTCAACAACGCCTTCACCTCGGTCAGCAGTTGTTCACCAAGTCGTGCCCAGATTTTGACTGGCCAAGCCAGTCATGCCAATGGAATGTATGGTCTGCACCAGGGAGTTCATAATTTTAATGTTTTACCCGGTACCGTTTCGTTACCAAATATCTTGAGAAACAAATCCCAAGGGGGAATTCTAAGTGGCATAATTGGCAAGAAACATGTTGGTTCCGGGGAGGATTTCAAATTTGATTTTGAACAGACCGAGGAGCAGCATAGCATTAATCAAATTGGACGGAACATCACTCGCATGAAATTGTACATCCGAGAATTTTTGCAAAATGCCAAGAAGCAGGAGAAACCATTCTTCTTGATGGTAGCCTTTCATGATCCGCATCGTTGTGGCCACATAACACCGCAATATGGAGAGTTTTGTGAACGCTGGGGTTCTGGGGAGGAGGGTATGGGTTCCATACCGGATTGGACGCCCATCTACTATGATTGGCGCAATCTGCAAGTACCAGCCTATTTACCCGATACCGATGTGGTGCGTCAAGAATTGGCTGCGCAATATATGACCATGTCGCGTTTGGACCAGGGAGTAGGTGTTATGCTGAAGCAGTTACAAGAAATGGGTTTTGAGGACGATACCCTGGTCATATTTACTTCAGATAATGGACCACCATTCCCCTTGGGGCGTACCAACCTCTACGAACATGGCATAAGGTCACCCTTCATTATGACCTCACCCAATCCCACAGATCGCCACCAGCAGACCACGGCAGCCATGTCTTCACTGCAGGATATTTTCCCAACCGTTTTGGATGTTTTCAAAATTCCCCTGGAGAATTCCAGTAACAATTCCTATACCAAATCTCTGTTACCATTGCTCAAGGAAGAACCGGCAACCAATGAAAATGATAGCGTTTTTGGCTCACAAAACTATCATGAAATCACCATGGACTACCCCATGCGCATGATACGCACCCGACGTTATAAACTGATACACAACCTAAATTATTGGTCCTACTTCCCAATAGATCAAGATTTTTATACCTCCCCGACGTTCCAGCAAATCCTCAATGCCACAATGCACCATCAACAGTTGCCATGGTATAAAAATCTATTGGGCTATTATCAGAGGCCCGAATGGGAGCTGTACGACATCAAAGCGGATTCCCTGGAGAGATATAATCTGGCCGATAAACCCAAATATAAGGGCGTTTTGAAAGATTTGAAGCAACGTCTGCTGAAATGGCAAGTCGATACGAATGATCCGTGGCGTTGTGCCCCACATGCTGTACTCCAGGCTCAGGGTGTTTTCAAAAAGAATCCCGTCTGCCTGTCTCTGGGACATGAGGCTTTGGTCAAGCATGTTACTCACTATGAGAAATATATTTTATTGTAAAATTTAAAAAAAAGAACAAATTTATTAAACATTTATCAACAAACATTAGTTCAGTATTTCGAAATAAATTTTAAATTTTTTGTAAAAATAAATTTTAACTTTAATTTGTGTAGAGCGTACACTACATCTTGGTGATGTCAATAACATTATTTGACGTAGAACGTCAAAATTTAGCAGAACAATTTGTATTGTATCTAGGATGTTTGGTATTTTGATGATTTTTGCCACATTTTTTCACGGTTTTGTCTGAAAATTGATATTTATAGGTCGTAATGGTTCCTAGTTCATGTGGCGAAACATTGTATGTATAGGTCCACGCTTTGGTATAACCCCCATGTAAGGGTACCTCCCAATATTCGGTATTTTGATTATTTTTGCCACATTTTTTCACGGATTTGTCTAAAAATTGGTATTTGTTGGTCATAATGGGTTCTAGCACCGGTGGCTAAACATTGTTTGTATAGGTCCACGATTTGGTATAGCCTCCATATAACGGTACCTCCCGATATTCGGTATTTTAGTGATTTTCGCCACATTTCTTCGCCGAGTTGTCTAAAAATTGGTATTTGTGGGTCATAATGGGTTCTAATGTTTCCTTAGGTGGAAGGTATTAAAAGTTCAACCCGGCCGAACTTAATTTTTTTTACTTGTTATTATTTTAAAAGAATTTTTAACGGATTTTATTTTTTTGCAAAACTGCCAAATTCTTTCCAAATGGTGGAGAGTATTCAAAGTTCGGCCTGGCCAAAGTTGCAGTTTTTTCTTGTTTTTTTGAAATTTTCATAATAGGAATTCTTGAAGTTCTTATATTTAAGGTACATTGTGTTATTACTGAGAACAATTAAAATAATTATTTCCGTCCACAATTTTATAACCTCAGCCATATTGCTACAGATGGTATATATAATTTGATACGCCCAAAACGTGCCTCAGCGAAATAACGATTTTAGACCCTAGGTCTTTTTGGACCAAATCTTTTTTAGGACATTTGGGACCAGTCAAGGTTATCCGTATGTCAGTTCGTGCGTCTGTCTGTCAAGTTGGTGCGCACGATAACTCTCGAAGGGAGTATCCGATTTGGACCAAACTTGGCACATCATAATATTATTATCAAACTTACATTAAGTTCGGAGATGAGCAATATCGGCCCACTCCCTCGCAAATTTTGATAAATTATAACTGCTGTAAAATGTAAAATATTAGTGAATTTCCGCACATCTTAATATTTTATCATCCCCCACAAAGCGCCAAAATTTTGAATAGTGGTCTCTCTTATAAAATGTGAAAAATCGCATGGTCTTCAAATTTCACAAATCCCAATTATTTTACTAACACAAGATATGTTATCAAGATCGGATAGAACGGACCATTCCTTCTGATACCTCCCCCACAAGGGGTCAACATTTTGAATAACACCGAAATAAGCCTTCGATCCCTTTTAAACGTGCCACAAAATAAAGAAAATAGATTCAAAAGAGCTAAAAAGTTTCTTCGCTTGGCCGAAAGTGGAGAACTGCCGAATTTGGTTTTCTCCGATGAGAACACAATCGATGTTCAGCAGTTTGTAAACAACAAAATGATAGTGTTTACTTGCCAAAGAGGTCAGCTGAAAATGTGCACCTTCCGTAGGCCATCAGAACTCAAGCACCGGCTATGGTGATGGTGTGGTCCGCCATAACAGCCGATGGTCGCTCTCCGCTCGTATTAACCATGACATCAGAATATATGCCGAATATTGTCGCGAAAGTATTATGGAGGGTGTATTAAAGCCTTAAACACTCAAACATTTTGACCCCAGACCTTGAACATTTCAACAGGAGTCAGTACCATTACACTCAGCACGCGCCACCAAGGAATGGTTTAAAAATAAGGTTCCTCGCCTCATTTCCAGGCCACCAAAATCTACGGATACCAATCCTTTGGACTATTGTTTTTGGAGTATTTTGAACAGCAAGGTTGGCACTAAAAAATACCAAAGTGTTGATCATCTCAAACTAGCGCTTCGCCTGGAATGGACCAAAATACCGCATAGCAACATTCCGGTAGCGTGTGACGGTTTCATTGGTCAAAGGTGACCAATTCGAACAAATCTAAACTTATTCTTAAATTTGATGCTATTTCCGACATTTTTTGTTCTCATTCAATAAAATTTAAAATAAAAAATGTAAAAATTATGGCTTTTGACTTTGTCGCAGTTTTTTTTTATCTCGCCCTGTATACCTCTCAGAAAATACGAAATAAGCACACGATTCTCCACTAATTTCACAAATCCCAATATTTGTGTTAACAACATTTCTGGTGTAAAGATGGGAAATATCGGACTACTCCTCATGGTACCTTCCCCACAAGGGGTCTAAACTTTAAACAATTTTATCTCCCATAAAATGCGAAATAAGCATCTGATTTTTCAAAAGTTCGCACATTCCAATATTTCTACTAACACAAGATCTGTTGTGAAGACGGAGATACCGACCCACATCTTCTGGTACTTCCCCCACAATGGGCCATAAACTTGGTATATCTAAATATTTCTTTCAACCAGAGATCTGATGTGAGTAAGAAGTCCATCGGCCTACTCCTTGTGGCACCTTCCTCACAAAAGTTGAAAATGTTGATTATAATTTAATCGCAAAAAATTTAACATAAATGAATAGTATTAGATGAAGTAGAATACTTCGGTCCGCCATACATATTTCAACATTTTCCAAAAATTATCACATATCTCATAAAATGTGAAAAAATTAGTCGATATGGCCCAAATCTGGTACGCTGTAATATTTATGTCAGACTTAGACTTATGAAATGGTCAATATTGTCCCACTTCTTCGGAACTTCCCCCATAAAGGGTCAACAATTTGAATAATCAAAACGCAAGGCCGGGGGTATACATCTGTCGGCAAAACCGACTGATACTTTTTAACTTTTTTAAGATAAGCTCATTTCACCATCTTTCTACACTAATGTATAGATGTTTACTACGGATATTTTAGAACGATCTTAAAAAAAAACAACCTCGTGTACACACCAAATGTGAACTTTATTCCAGATTCCAGATTTCTAGGTAGACTTTTCTTAACATTAAAATTTAATACCATCGATACTATGTTTCGTAACTTTTGGTACTTTTTTAGCTTTCCAGTATATAGAGCCCCATGAACATAATTTGGCTATAAAATGTAACTTCCACTGTTAGTAACATTATTATATTTAGATCCTGAAAGTATGCTTTAATTTTCGTGTAAATTATAGTTGTAATATAAACACAGCTTCATAATATTTTTTCGACATGATTTTTTTGACTTACGACAACTATTAACTGCATATTGGCATAACTCCAAATCTATTATTAGCCAATATCAAAGAAAGCCAGTTTTACAATTTGAATTATGGCCAAAATTAATACATTTTAAGTTCAGTGTCGTTTCGAAGAACAATTGCCATATTATATAAGAGATGTGAAATTTCATTAAACATTCGAAGGTGAAGTTCAGCAAAGTGCAGAAGGCCAGCAGAAGACAGGCAATAGAAAATATTTTTGAATATAAAATGGCATCATTAAAACTGATATTAGCTGTGATTTTCTCCATTTTACTGATGGCGGAGTTTGTACACTCCGCACCAGCTGTGAACCGTAAAAAGTCCAGGCAGCACAAGAAATCCCTGACATCTATGAAAAATGGTGAGCTTTTTGGAATTGATGTGCTAAAATCTAAAAACATTATTTATCTCTAATCTAGGTTCCGGAAAATCCAACACTAGTCGCAATGCCAAAATGAATGTCTACAGCCCCCGATCGTGGCCTTCATCGAGTAGCAGCTATTACCATTCCCCAATGTATTTACGTTCTTCCTCCCCAACAACAATGTATTATCCTTCGCGATGGCTGAATTCACCCAGTAATTACTACTCAACATCCTCGATGTTGCCCTCCACCACCTATCTGAGGCGAGCCGATGACTATCCGTCCATGACATCCGGTTCTTCCTCGAGTTCTTTGACGCCAACAATGAGTCCCTCGTTAATGACCTTGGATGCTGCTAGCGGTGGCAGTAGTCGTACTCCCACATATGTTGATTGGAGCGCCTTTACCACCGGCGGCAATAGTCTCTTCGATAATAACTTTGCCAGTCAAAATTTATGGTCTATGCCGCCGGAGGTTGGATCCACAAAACCCAAATTTAATTTGTTCAATAGTTTTAGTTTGAATGATGATGGTTTCTTCGGGAATATTTTGAATCATTTTAAGTAAAGGAAATAAAGGCGAAATTTACGAGTTGAAGGGCTGTTTTTAAAATCGGATGTGTTTGCTAAGCGAAGGATTGAAGATTTACAGAGACGAGAAGTTAAGTCTTGAAAAGTTCCGTTAGACCGAAACTACATGTTCTTTACTAAGATCAGAAAATTATATGATGGCAATATTTGTGCTGATATGCAGTCATGAACAGACCTTCAAGATTGACAAGATGAGAATATGTAAGGGAATTTTTTTCTGGCATAGAACATCGGTTTATTTTTTCATAAATGTACGAAGAAGTTGTTGACATTGACAAATTTCGGCCCATAATCTAAAGTTGGTCAACATAAAGTTCATTTTTTAAGAAAAATCCGGATAATGGGGGAGCTCATATTTTATCATTTGGGCGCCAACCAAATGTTTTTCTTTTCCCATTTCTATCTACATCGTTATATATTTCTGTATACATTTGTAGTCTTAAATATAATTTAAATATTAATTTGTACCAAATACCGAACACACACACACTAACCGACATTTCTCTATTTTCATAACAAAATATTTCTGGCCTGCGGCCAAATGGTCCATCAACATCACGAGATTTCTGGCACAAGATCATCGTTTTGGGCAATTTGCATCATGTGAAATTAGTTTATTTGCAATTTTTTCCTAAGAAACAAAAACCACGAGTTCTCTGTGATTTTCTCAAATTGTTTACACCTTATTAGTACTGTGTGCTTTGTTGGTAAACATGTGTGTTTGTGGGTATTTTGAAGTATATATGTTTTCATGATGTTTCTAGAAATAATGGGAATTCCGTGAACCGGTTCAAAGTTCAAAAATAATTTAATTTCAGAATGATTATTTCGCAGTTAGTCAAATCATCTTCTATAGGTAGTTTCGTAATAGCAAATCTGAAAAGCATTCAAGTAACAGAAAATTGTCTATGGTTCCTTTATAGACATAGCTTTCTTAGATACTCCATGTAAATGGAATAGCCTCTGGAAATCTGAAAGGACAAATGTTTACTAATTTTGTAAAAAAACATGTTGAAAACCTACATTAGACTTCATATCTAGTAATTATTTTAACTGCCAAATTACCGTTGGTTTAGCTAAAAGTTGTGGCTAGAATCTATGCACATCGCATAGCAACCTAAATGGAGACTGAAAGTTCCAATCTCTTCTAAATTTTAAATTTTCTGATTAATATTCCTTAAAGTCCAGAAATTAAGAAATAATAAAAACAAGTAACAAAGCTGTAAGTTTGTCCGGACCGAACTTTGAATACCCTCCACCATTTAGTAAAAATTTGGCGATTTTCAAAAAATTAAAATCCATTAAAAATGCTGTTAAAATCTTAAAAGTACCGAATGTAGCCGTATATTAGGGTCCATACGACGACGTGGACCTGCATATGCAACTTTTGTCATAAGCCTGCACAGACCATTTTCTGTCACAGGCTGTAATATCTATTACGAACTTCAAATGCGAAATTTGAAACATTTCCGGCAAATAATGTCGCTAAAATCATCAAAATCAAGGGGTACCGATATATGGGAGCTATACGAAGACGTGGACCTGCACAGACAATTTTCTGTCATAGGCTGCAGTATTCATTACGAACTGCAAATACTACATTTGAAATAGTTCTGGTAAATAATGTCGCTAAAATCGTGAAAGTACCGAATATGGGGGGGTACCGTTATATGGGGGTATACGAAGACGTGGACCTGCACAGACAATTTTCTGTCATATGCTGTAGTATTCATTGCGAACTTCAAATACTAAATTTAAAATAGTTCCGGTAAATAAAATAAACATTAGTTGTCCAGCAGTTTGTAAACAATAAAAAAATGTTCGTGTTTACTTGCCACAGAGGTCAGCTGAAAATGTGCACCTTCGGTTGGCCACCAGAACTCAAGCGCCGGCCATGGTTATGGTGTGGGCCGCCATAACAGCCGATGGTCGCTCTCCGCTCATATTAATCGACCGTGGCATCAGAATAAATTCCGAATATTATCGGACTCAGCACCATCGCACTCAGCACGCTCCACCCATGAATGGTTACAAAATGAGGTTCCTCGCTTCATTTTCAACGCATAATGGCTACCAAAATCTCCGGATACCAATCCGTTGGACTATTGTGTCTGGAGTATTCTGGAAAGCAAGGTTGACAATCACCTCAAGCAAGCGCTTCGCTGGGAACGGGCCAAAATACCGCAGAACAACATTCGGGCAGCGTGTGACGGTTTCATTGGCCGCTTGAAGGCCATAATTCGTGCCAAAGGTGACCAATTCAATCAAATCTAAACTTATTCTAAAACTTGATGCTATTTTCGACGCTTTTTGCTTTCATTAAATAAAATTTAAAAAAAAAATTATGGCTTTTGACTTTGTTGCAGTTTTCTTATCTCACTCTGTATATGGGAGATAATGCAGCGATATTGAACACACTTGTTTTTAGGCTATATACTTGAAATCGAACGTCGATATATATGGGAGCTGGCCTCGATTACATTTAGTAGATGTATTTCTGAGCTGTATCTGATATCCTGTACCAAGAATAATTTTTGTGGAGTGCATATTAGGAATATGAGGGACTTATAGCTATAGCCACGTCTGCAGCGACAAAATTGTTACCCTCCACCATAGTATCGAAATATACCTTTTTGATCCCACAAAGTATATATATTCTTTATCAGCATAAAATCCCATGTCGTTCTAGCGATGTCCGTACGTCTGTCCGTCTGTGGAAATTACACTAGCTTCCGAACGAAATTAAGTAGGTTGATAATATTTCACTCAAATGTATTGAAAATGGGCTATGTAGGTCCACGTTTTGGTATAGTCCCCATATAACGGTACCTCCCGATATTCGGTATTTTGATGATTTTAGCGACATTGTTCACCGGAATTGTTTCAAATTCGGTATTGTAAGTTCGTAATGGATACTACAGCCTAAGAAAGAAAATTGTCCGATATTTGGTATTTTGATGATTTTAGCGACATTATTCAACGGAATTTTTCAAATTTGGTTTTTAAGTTCGTAATAGATACTAAAGCCTATGACAGAAAATTGTCAGTGCAGGTCCACGTCTTCGCATAGCCTCCATATGACGGTATCTCCCTATATTCGGTATTTTGATGATTTTAGCTACATTATTCACCGATTTTTTTTCAAGTTTCGCATTTGAATATTGTAGTGGCTTATGACAAAAGTTGCCTATGCAGGTTTACGTCATCGTATAGATACTAATATAACGGCATCAATTGGTATTTTTTGAGATTTTAACAGATTTTTTAACGTATTTTATTTTTTTGAAAATAGCCAAATTCGTTCCAAATGGTGGCGGGTATTTAAAGTTCGGCGCGGCCGAACTGAAAGCTTTTTTACTTGTTTACACCCGCTTCTTGGCTGAATTAGGTCATATTTGCCAAAATCCATTATATTTTGGCTATAAATGCGACCTGTACTTTGTTTACAAAAATACATGGACAGACGGGGAGACATGCATAAATCGATTCAAATGTGAATCGTGTGTGGTGTCGGGTATAAAAAGAAAACCCAAAATTTATAAATAACTAAAATTTATTCTTTAATTTTTTTTAGCATTTGTCACGTGCCACAATCTCTCACCATATACAATAAAAGATCATGAAGTGCAAAATTATTTTTATTTTCTGGCTCTCGCTTTTTCTTCTCTAATAGTAGCTATTTTCGTTGGAGTACATTGGATTGAAATTATTTGGTAGAATATAGATGTCTTCTGGACGACCGTTGAAAAAATATGGACGTTTTAATGAAGTCAACTTGGAATCTTGTTGATGCTGCATGGATGGTGGTGCTGCAGGTGGCGACGAAGGTGAAAACGATGCATAGTTGTGTGAGGGCCCAGAGCTGGGAGGTGCATTGAAATAATTGTGGGTGGATGTGGTTGGCCTGTAACCACCATTGTTAAATGGATGTGTGGGTGGCGGGGGTGGAGGCGATGGGAGGCCTGACGAGACACGGCTAGGATAATTCGGGGGTACATTGGGAAACTGCAAATCATTGGGTGAACCACCAATTTGATAGACATTTCCAGGTTTACCATTGGCTAAAAAGTTAATGGGGACATTGAAAACCGGTGAGAAGGGAGGAAATGAGGGCAACGATTGATAAGGTAACATGGTTGGATATCCAGCTGAGGCAGTGGCAGTTCCCAAGCCCAAACCGGGTAAAAACATATAGGGCGTGGGTGGCAAACGAACATAATAGATGGGAGAATTACGAGGATAACCAGATGAGGATGTGTGGGAGTTCGAGGAAGAAGGTGAAGCGGGTCTCCGGGATGAGCCAGCACCCCTAGACATAGCATCTTCATATTCGTTGGCTATGGGGACAGAGGGAGCTGAAAATCCAGGATAAAACATTTCTGGAGCCATATAAAAGGGATAGGGCACCAAAATCGGTTGGGCATAGCTCATGAAGGGCATAAAGCGTGGCGTTACCGGAAATGGAGAGGGATGATAACTGTCAAAAGGATTGAAGAGGTGTGGGAAAAGAGCTGCCATTGGTGATATCGGTGGCAGTGACATTGCATTGTAGAATGATGGTCTTTCGAACATGTTCCAAGGGTAGTTGGGTGCACTGCCACCATTTGATAGAGGAACTGATGAAGAAGGTGGAGGTGCTGGCGGTGGTGGTGTGGGCAGGTTCTGGGGCCCTTGAGCCGGAGCAATCAATATGGGATTAACTTCCCGTTTTAAATCGTTTATTATTTGATAAGACTCTCCCAGATCATCGTCAACGGAAGCTGCCGCTGCAGCAGCAGCAGCTGCTGAAAAATGCTTCAGAACTTCTTGAACAGCAGCATCCTTGTCGTTAACCACATATTGGCCCACAGGCAAATGAACTGTTCCCACTGAAGACGATGCAGACTGCGATGTGGATGATGATGATGTTACAGATGCTGGGCCAACTGTATTAGACAACAATGTTGCAGCGTTTAAACTCTGTGGCATGGCTGAGGAGAGGCCCAAATTATGGCCACCACTTGAACTTCCAGAACTGCTGCCTGGGTGTGTCGATACTGATTGACGATTTGATTTTGTATTAATAGGAGCTGGAGCATGAGGGACATGTTGTTGAGATGTCGAGGTCTGTTGTTGGTGGTGTTGTTGTGGCTGCTGCTGATGTTGCTGTGATGACGTTGCCTGTTGCAATTGTGCCATATTGGTGGTCTGTGCTGCCATCACATGTGGCTGTGGCACGATGGCAAACAACAAGACCAACACAAATAGCCGGGCGAATGCAAATCTCCAATTTTGCCACATTTTGTCTTATTGGATTTGATGAATATGATGATTGGTTACGGTCGCAAATGGTTGGTGATTCTAGGTTGGCTTTGTTGCTTCAATGTTGTCTGGATATCTCTTGAGTAGTGAAAAAAAAAAAAAAACATATTTATTTATTAGGGGTATTCAAGTGATTGTGATTTTTTAAGGTCATTGCAAATTGTTTGAGGTGAGAATAAAACACTGTTTGAAAAATAAATTGGAACTAGTAAAATACCGCCCATTATTCGATATTTTGATGATTTCAGCTAAATTTTTCAGCAGACTTATCTTAAATTTACTATTTAGAGTTCGTAATAGGCACCTAAGGAATTTTTAAAATTTTGCAAATTTGTTTTCACATATTGGACGATTCTAAAGGTTCGGCGCGGCGGAACTTAGCTTAGAAAAATAGAAAATTTCATTTCGAGTTATAGATCAGAACTAAATCAAAAACAAAATTGTATTGGGTTCCCAGAACTTACTTCTTTTAAGGTCTTTACATAGCCTTTAAATGTAGCATTGTTTTAAAAATTGAGTCATGTGACTTATTTTTTGGTAAAGACCCTTTATGAGAGTAAATCCCGATTTAGGCATATTTTCTATTTAATTTTGTAAACCAGTTCCGAGGGAGGTACAAAATCCTTGACCCAGAGTAAATCCCGATTTAGGCATATTTTCCATTTAATTTTGAAAACCAGTTCGGTGGGAGGTACAAAATCCTTGACCCAGAGTAAATCCCGATTTAGGCATATTTTCCATTTAATTTTGTAAACCAGTTCCGTGGGAGGTACAAAACCCTTGACCCAAAGAGGAAACTTTTTCGGAAATTCTCACCAATTACACAGGAGGTTAGAGAACGTGGACACAGAGGACTACTTGTGGGAATTTTGTTCAGTTCCGGTGAAGGTATAACAAAGTTACGTAATATTACATCTTTTTTATAAATGTTGATCAATCATGTGCGTATGTACAAAAACGTGGATCCTGGTGCTATTTTTTTACTTTTGACCAGTTCCGGTGAGATACTACAACGTGGACCACAGGGGTTCGTTTTTAGAAATTTTTATCAGTACAAAATTGAGCTTTCTCGGAAATTTTGATTAGTTTCGCGGGAGATTGGAGAACGCGGACTAATTGAGGACCCTTTTTGGCAATTTTGTTTATTTCCGATGAAGGTCTGAAATTGAAATTGACTATTTCTGAGGGAGGTCCTATAATCTGGACAGATATGTGACCCATTTTGAGAATTGTTACCCGTTCCAAGGGAGATACGATAACGTTGACGCAAAAGGGTAATTTTGTTTCCTTCTGGTGAAGATAAAAAATGTGAAGTAACAGTGTACATTTCTTAAAAATGTTGACCAGTGACATAACTACTCATTTCGGGAATTTTTTGCAAGTTCCAAGGAAATGTCGGAAATTTTACCCAAAGGAAACTCTTTTTATTTAGTGGTCCCATTTCGAAAAATTTGACTTTCTCTGCTTGACGCACTAAAATGTGGACCCATTGGGGAACAGTTTTGAGAATGTTAACCAGTTCCGCGGGAGGTACGAATGTACATTGAACCAAAGGGGAACTATTTCGTACCACATAAAGATACCCCCAGAAAAATGTGAAGTAACAGTGTACATTTCTTAAAAATGTTGACCAGTGACATAACTACTCATTTCGGGAATTTTTTGCAAGTTCCAATGAAATTTCGGAAATTTTACCCAAAGGAAACTCTTTTTATTTAGTGGTCCCATTTCGAAAAATTTGACTTTCTCTGCTTGACGCACTAAAATGTTGACCCATTGGGGACCAGTTTTGAGAATGTTAACCAGTTCCGTGGGAGGTACGAACGTACTCTGAAGCAAAGGGGAACTATTTTGAACCATATAAAGATACCCCCAGATATTCGGTATTTTATGATTTCGGACAAATTTGTTAATGGATTTGTCTGGAATCCGATGAGTGAAATTTTTAATACGTACTTATAAACCTTTCCAAAAAAATGGTGTATATTGGTCTACTATTGCATGTAATCCCTATATAACGGTACGCCAGAAATTCGGTATTTTAGTGATTGGAGTCACATTTTTTAATTGGATTGTGTGACCTCGTCCATGATATCTTATATACCCCATATAACGGAACATCCATTTTTTTACTCTCCACCTTGGAAAAGAGGGTAACATCACTAAATTTTCATCGTAGACCCCATATATATTCATAATCAGTCTGTTCATTCTGTCTGTTGAAATAACGATATAGCCCACATTTTTTGACTACACTTGAGCGTTCAATTTTAGCAGAACACTTTGTATTGTGCCTAGGTTGGTTGTAAGATATATCGGTCTATGTTTTGGTATAGTCCTTTCGATATTCGGTATTTTGATGACTTTTGCCACATTCTTTCACGGATTTGTCTAAAAATTGGTATTTGTTGGTCATAATGGGTTCTAGCACGGAAACATTGTATGTAGGTCCACGTTTTGCTATAGACCCCATTCAAGGGTACCTCCCGATATTCGGTATTTTAATGATTTTTGCTACATTTTTGCATGGATTTGTCTAAAAATTGGAATTTGTTGGCTATGATGGGTTCTAGCTTCGGTGTCGAAATATTGTATGTTATTCACGGATAAGTGAACATGTTTTTATAATAAAAGAGAATAGCGGGGCTACCTAGTGTAGATGAGAGGGATTTGTTAAACAGGGATCTTCTTAATACAGTCCACATTAAATAAGATAAGAAAATGTGGTGAGCAGACCTTCGAGTTAGAAATAAATAATACAGAATTTTCAAATGCTGCATGTGTTATGGTGGAGTTAGATTATGGGATGTAATTTTTACTCAGACTGATAAGCAAGTGCAGGATGTTTGCTTGCCACATGTGAGATAGCTATGCGTGTGTATGACCCCCTAAGGTTTATGGTGGCATGGTGCATATGCATGTGTACAGTTGGTATCTGTCTCTCTCTCTCTCTCTCTCTCTCTCATTTACACTTAATTATAATTTAGGTTTAGTCATATTATCACAACTAGTTCTTAAGAAATGTTTTTAATAAATAAATTCAGTGTCTTACAAACGCTCAAACGGAAAAGACTTTGCGTCTTTTAATTGATCCCGGTTTACATATGTACAGGCCCACATTTTGGTATAGCCCCCATATAACGGTACGTCCTAAAAATCGGTATTTTGATGATTTTTGCCACATTTTTCACGGATTTTTCTAAAAAATTGTATCTGGGGATCATAATGGGTTCTAGCTCCGGTGGCGAAACAATGTATGTATAGGCCCATGTTTTGGTATAGCCGCATATAACGGTACCTCCCGAAATTCGCTATTTTGATGATTTTTGACACATTTTATCACTGATTTGTCTAAAAATTGGAATTTGTTGGCCATGAACGACTTACTTCGGTGTGATCCCTCTATTTTGCCAGCAAGTTTTGCAACGTTTTCTTGACCGGCAAAAATTTGTAAAAATTTGTTAAACTAGTACAACACATTATTATATTGCTGGAGCACAACTTTACATCAATATTTCAATGGATCCCAACGTTTTCTATACACGAATCGTTCCAAAGACGTCTTTTTGAATACCACCATTGAAATTTAAAATTTTCAAAATAAACATTCTGTTATTATGGATTGCGATCATTTCCATTGCATTTGTTTGTCTGTATGTTGGTGTGCCGGCATCTCATCAATGATCAATGGTCATGTAAGTATTTCCATTGATCTTTTATATGTGGCTGTTTCTGTGCCCCTCCACTACCTCCAAACGTGCTGGGCTACAAATCGATTTTCTATTCTAAAGCAATCGAAAGCCAACCATATCGATACGTTTTGCATAGATCGTGAATTAGGTGATGATGTCGGGCTATTGTATGATGTGTTTTCTGTGAGCTGAACTTATTTTTTTTTCTGACAGCAGTTTTCTTTTGTTTTGTTCAATGTCTTTTGGATTTGTAGTGCATTTAACTGTCTGCAATCGATTCCTCTTATAATTTTGCCAGACTGACCTACATTGAGATATGATCAGGTTTATGCTGCATTGACATCTATTTCAGGACAAAATAGCAAAATGGTCAAATTGTTGTTAATGTAAAATTGAAATGTGGGTCTAACGGTCAAAGACGGAGTTGACTAAACCGCGGAAGTATCCAGCAGTGATGAGATGTTTTAATTGTAATCATGTCAGTGAGACTTGTCACTCAATTCTAAGAATTTGTGAATTTCCAGTATTTATATGAATCCCTTTTATTTTGATATTTGCTTATTGCAAAAAGTCTTATGACCAACTCTCGGTCTGGCATAATAGATTAGTAAATATTTACCACCAAGAAGATAAAGAAATGATGGCAACAACTTGGCTCCGAACCAAAAAAGTAGACCGATTAAACATTGCCAACAGCTTAACTTTGCCCGGGTGCAGCTGCTGCAGTCTCGCGCTCCACAATTTTGCTGTGATAATTGCAATTGTCAACTGAGTCAGTCGTAAACGTTGTGTGTTCGACCAGCCGAACATTTAATAAGCGATTATTTAGTCTGCTTGCCGGCTCACCACGCATGGTAAAATGCCACTGTTCATTGTTACGGAGTAATTGCCATAAAAGTGAAATTTTATTGCAACGCGTAATGCTGGATTTGTTGGCATACATATGTAGTTAATTGTTGCAATTCACAGCGTTTATGTTTGTATCATCAAAATTATGTAAGTTAATATTATTAGTGCAATATATTGTAATATACATGTAAATTCAAAGAAAAAATATTCGTTTTAAAAGAATTTTAATTCTTGAGTTAAAAACAAGTAAGCAAAGACTATAGCTATGCGGGGCCGACCACGTGATACCCTACAACACTATAATAGGTTGGAAGCCCTCTTATGTCCAAGTCCAAATCTTCCAAAAGATTTCGTTTTAAAAATTATGTCATACAGCCGTGCCCAGATGTTATCCTTAGCTTCTTGACCGGGGGCATTTGCCCATTATTTTCGCATTCCGTCATGTTCCATTGTGGTCCATTTTACAGCTAAATGTAATCCAATAGTCATCCAAAATTGTAAGTCAAATTGAAAAAATCGCATGCGATAAAAAATATGACAAAAATTGAAA